TTTAGAGTCAGTACCTCTGAGTGAGGCAACTAATTCCCTCTTACTGTTCCCCACATTTGTTTTCCGGACCAGATTTGGTGCCTATGAATGGCAGAGATGTTACATTTTACAGTCTGCCCCACTATAAGTGTTTATGTACCGCGAATAGCACATTCGCGATTGGTAAATAGAAGAACGATGTCAAAATAAGGTAGAAGTTCAGCTGGTTGGTTCATGGATGAACTTTCTTAGCATTTTTAGTTTTGCCGTGATCAGGAACAAGCTTTCTCACAATTAAGGAGAAATCTTAGCAATATATGAAGACTTTTCGAAAAAGAGAAGAATTCTGCATAAAGACTCTGCCCCTTTAGTGTGACTGGGTTAGTGGCTTCAACAACTGAATTTTCCACATTAGACTATCTGATGAAGCTATGAGTATTGATAATGAAGCTGTGAAGACTTTACACTGTGCGTTTTGAAAAAGTTGGGTCCTCCTCGATTAGATTGTAATTTCTGATGAAAACAACATCTATTCAAAGTGACTGCCTTTGAGGACCCACATTGGGAAAGAGGAAGCATGAAGACTACTGAGCACTGATGACGGTGATGGTGGGTACAAGAGCCAGTGGAGATGTAATCTCGTGAGTGTGTTTATTAGGTTAGTTATTGTTTTCATTAGTGCTCCGATTACAAAGTTGCATTGGATTTAAGTCCTGTTATTTTTAGTGTGCAATTTTGCTGAACAAGAGATTTTTTAGGAAGACACATGTGACAGTATCGCAGAATGCCTGCTACTTTTTTTTATCTGCTGGACATCTAGTGTGGTGCTGGCTATATAGTACATGCTTAATAAATACTTGTTGACTTTAGGCAACCTTTAATTCATAAATATTTTTCCATGTCCTTGAAGGTGGTTACTTCTCATATTTGTTTAATCTCTATTTCCTTTAATTTCTCTATTAATGGCTCAGATTGTTTAGATGAGAACAGGCAGCAGAAGGGAGACACAGAAAGCCAGGGGAAGATTATAAGGATCATCAGAAACCTCTGGGTTAATGGATGGTTCTAAGATTAATTTGAAAATAACTAGAGCCTAGCAGCCTTTTATCCTTCTTTTCTCCCAAGGCTAGCTTTCTAGTGCTCACTGGGTGCTAGACTCATGAGAGGCCAGACAGAGAGACCAAAAGATCAGTGGCTCTAACATACACGTTTGATATCCCAACTGATGGTGGTAACCTCCTTTCTTCAGCATCTGAGAAAAGTTGTCTCTCCATCCACGAGCTTACTTGTGCCTCAGAAAGGGAAAAATCAAGAAATGCAGCTGCAGTCAGATCAGCTTCGGGGGTGCACTTGGTGCGGTGCCTGGTTCGTAATCAGTGGACAAAGTGTTCTTGCAGGAGAGCAGTGGCTCCTTTGTGTGTCAACTTCCAAGAGAGGCCAAGGACCCTGATGCCTGAAGGAAGAGTGTTTGTAATTAACTAGAGCAAAATTCTGAACAACAAACATCAAGAATTCAGACGGGGCTGAGATAACCACCATAAAGTCAAGTGTAAGCCATCTCAGGGACAGTTTCTCACTTGCCCAATGTAGATTACGCATGTTTTACATGTACCTTTAACTTGATTTTAAATGTTGCTCTGCCTGGCCCGAGTGAGGGTGGTGAAGCCCAATCTTACATTCAAAATACTGGCAATCCATTTTTTAGTCTATTTACACCCTCCAAATGGAAGTCTTTGTATTGCAACGCCTTCCCCCCCTTTTAAAACCACACCAATGAGACCTACACGTAGGGAACTTCATGATCTGGAAGCTGCTTATGTGCTTTGCTTCTCTTGCTAACAGCAGCCCCCGCCCCAGGCCCCCAATTTCTTAACCACGGGGTCTCTGCACATGCTATTGCTATTTTGTTTGCCTAGAACCGTGGTTGGCAAACTGCGGCTCACGAGCCACATGCGGCTTTTTGGCCCCTTGAGTGTGGCTCTTCCTAAGCCTTAGGCGTACCCTAACTAAGTTAATAACAATGTACCTACCTATATAGTGTAAGTTTAAAAAATGTGGCTCTCAAAGGAAATTTCAATCGTTGTACTGTTGATATTTGGCTCTGTTGACTACTGAGTTTGCCGACCACTGGCCTAGAATGTTCTTCACTCACCTTCTTTGCTTCGTGATCACTCAATATATTTTTGCTTAATACCCTTCCCAATAGCCGGACAGTTCCATAAGAGCAAACTACATCTGTTTTGTTCACCAGCATACCCACAAAACCTCGAACAATACCTAACACTCAGTAGGCTGTCAAGAAATACTGACTCTACACCTTTAAGACTCAGCTCAAACATCATCCTCTTTGGGAAGGTGATCCAGAGCCTCTGACATTCCAGTGGGTACTTCCCTCCTGTGCTCCTGGGCTCCCAGTTCATATCGGTTGTGCTGAAGTGTGGCTCTGTAACCGTCTGCCTCTCCCAGTAGACTATAAGGTATTAAGTCAGTGATGGCGAACCTTTTGAGCTTGGCGTGTCAGCATTTTGAAAAACCCTAACTTAACTCTGGTGCCGTGTCACATATAGAAATGTTTTGATATTTGCAACCATAGTAAAACAAAGACATATTTTTGATATTTATTTTATATATTTAAATGCCATTTAACAAAGAAAAATCAACCAAAAAAATGAGTTCACATGTCACCTCTGACACGCGTGTCATAGGTTCGCCATCTCTGTTCTAAGTGGCAGAAACAATGTCTGCTTCATCTGTATAACCCACTGCACTCTTTATATCACCTGGTGTACTCTAAGGAGTTCAGTAAAGGTCTTACTGAGTAGATTATTGAGCATCTTTTCTTTTGTTTTATTAATCTCACCCAAGGATACTTTCCCATTGATTTTTAGAGAGAATGGAAGAGAGGGGGAGAGACAGAGAGAAACATGGATGTGAGAGAGACGCATCAATTGGTTGCTTTGCACACATGCCCCAGCCAGGCAGGGCCAGGTATCAAGCCTGCCACTGAGGTATGTGCCCCTGACCGGAATCAAACCTGCAACCCTTCAGTCCAAGGGCCAATGCTCTATCCACTGAGAAAACTGGCCCAGGTGAGCAACATTTGAGTTTGAAAACCCCCCAGCAGTGACCTATATCTATATCTCTCAACCAGGAATTATGTGAAAGCATTGGACAAACAGGTCACATCTTTTTGCAGCATCCATTTTCATGCAACTTTTCAGTGGGGGAGACATTTAAGAAATTTAAATCATGTGTGTGCATGCACGCACATGTGTAGCGAGTCAAATTCAAAATATACATCAAAATTTAAGTCAAAGAGGAACGTCAACAAAGCAAATTTACCATAGGGCTCCCTGTCCACCCTCTTTGGGAGCTTGCATACCCTCTTCTCTGCTGGCCCTGGGTAGTTTATCATCAGCATGATTAAGAAGATAGTTAATGGCAGTGCAGGGATTAAAACTGTTGATATCTAACTTTCTTTTCACTCTACTGTCCAAGTTAATTGCCTCATCATGCCTATAGCATAGTCCAATTTATTCTAACGCACTCAATAAATATGTTCATAAACAAAATAGATTCAGCAGAGTTGAATTTAGGTGGAAGGGGAGAAGGGCAAAAGGAGTCATAGCCTGAAGGTATCTGAGTAACAGGCATATGGACATGTTTAGACTTGGTATCTGAACTTACATTTCATGGAGCTTCTCTAGCATATAAGCTTTTATTTTATGACGGTGGTTCATTCAAAGCCTGCTCTGCCCCTTGAATGTTCTCAGTGCAAACATTATTTTTATTAAAGGGCCCTGTTAATAAAGGATGGAAAAATATTGCGTGGGCCTCTTCCTGACAACTCAAGGTTTAATGACTAACAATACTGGCAGTGCCCTGCTGCTGCTGCTGCAGACACCGAGCCTTTGTCTAGAGCAGTGGTTCTCAACCTTCCTAGTGCCGCGACCCTTTAATGCAGTTCCTCATGTTGTGGTGACCCCCAACCAGGAAATTATTTTTGTTGCTACTTCATAACTGTACTTTTGCTACTGTTATGAATCGTAAATATCTGATATATGCAGGATGTATTTTCATTGTTACAAATTGAACATAATTAAAGCATAGTGATTAATCACAAAAACAATATGTAATTATATATGTGTTTTCTGATGGTCTTGGGCGACCCCTGTGAAAGGGTCGTTCGACCCCCAAAGGGGTCACGACCCACAGGTTGAGAACCACTGGTCTAGGGGTTTACATTTTAAACAAAGTTTGTACACACGTGATTGTTTTCACTCCCCACAACAACCCTACACCCAAAGTAGTTCGGGAAACTGGGAATAGCACTCAATCCAATTGTTCGCTCTCTCTAGGTGCTGTGGTTAAAAAGCCTTACATCCACTTGGGGGTTAAATGGCAGGTGCCTGCTGCTTCTACAACCCAGCAGCATGGGAATAAAGAAAGACTATTTCTTTGGCGCTATGCAATCATGGCAACAAAAAGCACCCCCTCTTTCCACTTTGACCCACAGGGCTAGGCAATTCATCAACGCTCTAAGGGATGCCAGCTGCCTTGCCAATCAACCCCTCCCACAGGGCGTAGCAGGACACCCCCCAGCAAGGCCGCCTCCTGGGAAGGTGCTCTGGCCTACACCCGTGAAAGCTGCTACTCAGGTAGCTTCTGCAGTGAAACTCACACGTGAATCCTCCCAGCCCTCAGTTTCCCCATCTCTACAATGGGCTACACCTCCTCATTCTAGGGACTAGTTCCCTCCCATTCACGCAAGGCCCCTTGGACGTGAAATCAGTGCTTAACCACCGCTTCAAGTCCTCTCCTTGGGTTGCGGTCACCGCGCCGGGCATGCTCAGTGGCAGTGGCCCTGCCGGCGGCACGGCGGCACGGGAGTAGGAAGCAGTTCTCGGCGCCCAGGCGCTGGCTGCGGGCACTTTGATGAATCACGTGTGTGGAGGCCTCTTAAAGAGATAGGCACGCACTTTCTCCACCCTAAACACCGCCCTGAGGGCGGCGGCGGCGGTAGTGGTAATTGCAGCTGCTCAGGGGCAGGGCTTGCCCCGGCGCCGAGTAGTGGCAACGGCGTGTGGCGTCAGGGGTGCCTGGGCTCCCGGAGTCCCGAGGGCCTGAAAGCTGCTGCTCCCTAGACAGACACACGCCCTCCCAGGGAGCGGTGCTCCCGAATCAGCGCGGGGCCGCGGGACCACCCCGAGGGGCTTCCTCAGTGGCGGAGAGGTGGGGTGACAGGGCACAGGTGACAGGGCCGGAGAAAGATGGAGCAGCCCGGGGCGGCGGCGTCGGGAGCGGGAGGCGGCAGCGAGGAACCCAGTGGGGGCCGGAGCAACAAGCGGAGCGTGGGGAGCCGGGCCGCCAACGAAGAGGAAACGAAAAACAAACCCAAATTGGTGAGTGCTCCCGCAGCCCCCGCCGGCCTTGGGGACAGCGAGAGCCCCGGGATCCTCCTGCCGTTGAGCGCGGGGGCACCCGGGGCCCCCTCCCAAGGGTGACCGCGACCTCGCTGTGCAACTCGGGGAGCCGCTCCGAGCGGCCACGCCGAGGCGCGGAGACGGCGTGGGGGCGGAAGAGCACCCCCTTCTCCACTTAACCCCTTTCTCACTCGTGTCAGCCTGGGAAGGAGAAAGGCCCCACCCCAACTTGGGGAGACCCCGAGTACTGGGCAGGGTCCGTTGTTTTGTCCAACTTGTGGGCGCAAACCTTCTTTGCGCGATTCCCTTCCCTTCCCACCCCTGTCAGCTGCTGGGTTTCGCCTCTTTAACGCTTTTAGGGTCCGGGCTGGGAAACCGCGCTTCCCTGCAGTCCAAGTACTTGGGAGCCCACCCACAGGCTTCCAAAATGAAAAAATCCCATGAAACAAAACACACACAACGTAGCGCCCCCCCCCCCCCCCCCGCCCCAGTCTTCCCACTTTACCAGAAATCTAAGAGACGCCTACGTGCGCCTTCCCCCTTGCCTCTCCATGTGCTCTCCCAAGAAACGTTTCTTGGGAAGAGTGGGGGGAGCGTGGGAGCTGGAGGCTGGGTGAGGTACCACCAACTGTCGTGTGTGAATAGGCGGAGGCAGCCAGCGCTCCCACTTAGTTGATTGAGAACTCTCCCAGGCAGCCTGACTGCACCAGCCCCACCGTCCTGAGTGTGGGAAGCAGTGGTGGCAGTCCATTTCCTGCCACTGACTCCATGTGCAGAGGAATGAAATCGATGGGCCCGGTATTGCATTGGGAAATACTGGAGTTCCCTCTACTCATCAGTAAAAAGGGTTCCTCTTTTTTTTTTTGGTAAACTTTCTAATTCGGGTGGCAGGAAGGGAAACGGTTTGCCTGCACAAAGTCAGCAGATACTCCTGTCTTAACGTTCGTCTAGCTCGGAAGCACAAGCCACATGTTGCTCAGCTAGTTTTCAGTTTTAACCAGCAACTTGATTATAATTAGGAAGGAGAGGGTGACTTAACTGAAGCCTTTCTTATGGCATCTGGCCAATTTGGTGTGTACCTGCTATAACTTCTCTTGCCGCCTATTTGCCTTTCATATTGGAAAACAGTGGTCAAAGTGTTACAGTTTCAGGAAATACACAGCCTTCCATTATGTGGGAAAGGACCCAGTTGGGTAGAAAAAAATGACAACTTGAAAGTCTCATCAATTCCACCCTAACTTGAGGCAAATTGAGAATTTACTTACTTGATGTGTCTTGTTACCCCAGTAACTACAAGTGAGGAAACTGAGGCACAAGGTCTTTGTGAATTGTCTATGCTGGACTTAATGGGTGCCCTCACCATCATGAAAGTTAGAAAAGTTTTGTGAGTGTATCACCAAAGTTTAATGTACTTAAAAATTTGGATGTTGTGATTTTGAAATTTATCAGTTTGTGGTAAAAGAGTGGTCATATTTCCTTTTAATTTTGACCCAGCACAAAACTGTGGTTTAAACAGTGATTAAAAGTTTAAGCAAAAATAAAAGTGAGTTGATAGTTTCCACGAATAGTTTGGTGCAACCAGCAAGAACCTTTCAGTTTTAGGAAGTATTCTCCCAAGAGAAAGCAATTATCTCTGCCTGTTGGTAAATAACACCTTGATTACATTCTTCTCTTCCCTTTGGCCATTTGTCCTGTTTTATCTTTTATGTTTTACTTGCTTCCACAAGGTAACTAGATAGTTATGAGGTGGTGTCACTTTCAGTTCCTAGCTGACACTGTTGGGGGATGAACATAGCTTGATGTAGTTACTATTTGTAGTAGGACAAGTATTTAAATCCAAGTGTTTGTTAATATCAGTGGGAATTTCTTTCTTTTTTTGCTCAAATACAACCTTTGGGCCTTACCTGATTTTACGAGCGGATGTGTCAGAGTTAAGAAATACAAATTTAGGAAGATATTTCAGCACTATTTTGAGACAAGCAAGTTGACCAAACAACAAGACTTGGTAAACTTCTTTTGATAAATGCCTTACTCCTTATTTTGAGTTGTCTTATTGAAGTGCTCAACATTTTCTTCAAAGGCCTTTTAGATAAAAGTTCATCTGGAATTCTTAACTTAAAATATTGCTAGTAAAATAAAGCTTTATCTAGACTAAATGTTATTATTTTGGGTATTATGTTATTAATCAGTATAATAGTCCTTAATTGTGTGCATGTGTTCGTCTGCGTGTGGGATTATAAAAGAGAGCCATATGGTAATAGAAATTATTTGTGTAGGTGATTGTGAGGGACAGCAGTTCTTAAACTCCTGAAATTGTATGAAAAAATTTGAGTGTAGGTAGGTAGGTACATGCAGTTTTCTGGGCCCCAAGGCCTTCATCAGTTTCTCAAAGGCATCTGTCACCTATAGAAATTGGGTTACCAGATGGCGGGGAGGGGAGAGAGAGAGAGAGAAAGAGAAAGAAGGAAACAGAAAACACCAGTTGATTCCACCTGAAGTTACTGGGAAATAGCACTGACTACAGGACTGATTGATATTGAAGATAATTCACCTGGGGATAAAAAGAAATTAATTACACAATGTCAATATAGCATTAGCTAAGGTGAAAGTTTCCACTAAGTAGAAAAATTAACTCAATAGCTATCGTATAGTGGGTTCATAAAGTTTAAGGATTACGATTCTGTTGTTTTCATTTTAGTTCCTCACTGTTCTAGAACACTGGAGTAGGCAGGCATGTTTTCTATACTGAAGAACTATGCTTTTCTTTATATCAGTGGTTCTCAACCTTGGCTGCACATTAGAGTCACCTGGGAATCTTTTTTAAAAACCTGATTTCTGGGCCTCGTCCTCAGGAAATTCTGCTTCTTTGTTATGGGGTGGGGCCATGACATTAGTAACAAAGAAACAGAATTTCCGGAGGATGAGGCCCAGAAATCAGGATTTTAAAAAGATTCCCAGGTGATTCTAATGTGCAGCCAAAGTTGAGAACCACTGCTTTATATCCTCAGCTTTTGATGGGTATTAGTGAGAATTTTTTCAAAGATACATTTCAGGACTTTTTTTTTTTTTTTTTAATTTTTTTTCTTTTTTTTCTTCTTTTTTTTTTATTATTAGTTAAGGTATTACAAATGTGTCCTCATCCCCCCCATTAACCCCCAACCTCCCCCCCACACACACTCATGCTCCCATCCCCCTGTTGTCCATGTCCATTGGTATGGCTTATATACATGTATACAAGTCCTTCGGTTGATCTCTTCCCCTTACCCCCGCCCTCCCCTACTTTCCTTCTGGGGATTGATAGCCTGATTGCTGTTTCTCAGTCTTTGAGTCTGTCCCTTTTCATCAGTCTATGTTGTTCTCTATAATCCACAACATTTCAGGACTTTAACGACTTCTGTTTAAGATTAATTCAGTCAAAATTTAACAAAATTCATATGTATCTGTGCCTCCTTATAATGATCCTTTTATTTTGATTCTTTTTAATGAAGGCAACCTTATTTGGGAATTCATCATATATTAAATAATGCATTAGTAGTAGAGCTTTGTATTTCATGTAACTATCTGGTGAGGCCCAGATTGTAGCATCTCGTCAAATAGCATGAGTCTTAGATTAATTAGTGTCTTGATGTCAACCATGGAATGTATTTTGTCAAATCGAGAATTAGAGAGAGCTCTAGAGGTGGTATGATTGAATCCCACATGTTTAAGGCAGCGACCTAACCATTAAGAGAGGCTAGTGTTAAGGTAGAACTAACACCCCTCATACACACACAGTGGTGTAGAGTGGCTTATCATTCTGTCGTGTTTTTGTGTTTTGACTTTGTGTTTCTGTATGATTCCTGAAGCCTTTGGTTCCTTCGATAGTAGAGTTAAATTAGTAACTTGAAGTAACAGAAGTTAATTTTGTGGTTATTAAATAACTTTCTGAGTATTTGGTTATTGGTTTTTAATTGGCTAAATTCTGTTTGATATTAATTGATAAAGTTTGAACTTTATTATTTCATTTATGTAACAAACATTTACTGAGCATATACGGTGTGCTAGACATTATTCTTAGGGCTGGTGATATAAGGGGAGGGAGAGTAACGAAGACAGAGAAGTTAATTAATAGACTAAAGAGCTGTGTGATAAGGAATGATTGGAATATGCATAGGAGGACGATGTAAAATCATCATGGAGAGGCATCTAAATCTAAATGGATGCTGGAGTGTGGTAAGGAAAGGCTAATATTGTAGGTGATATTTGCCCCAAGGCTTGAAGAATAGGCCATTAATTGAAGAAGGCAAGGGAAAACATTTTAAGTTGAAAGAACAACGTATGCAAACAGAGAGAAATAGTAGCATGTCCAATAAAGGAATGGTGGGCAGGTGTTAATGGCTGAAACAAAGGGTACACATGGTTGACCTACTAGAAAAGAGACGGAGTACAGACAATGATGCGTATTTGTATGTCATGTTAGAGGTTCAACTTTTTTTGTGAAAGCCATAGCAAGTCATTGAAGAGATTTAAGCAGGAGATTGATTCGATCAGAATTGTGTTTCAGAAGGAAACACTACAGTGGAGAATTTCTTGGAGAGGCGTACTGGAATGGAGGCAAGAAGACCTATTAGGAAGAGCAGAATGGTGTAGAAGAGTTGGATGTTTGTAGTTGGAGACCTGGATTCCAATCGCAGCTCATCCTTTTATTCTGCAAGTTTTTCTGCATCTCAGTCTCCTCCTGTCACTTCATGGCCTCTCTTTCCTGCCACCCACCCTGAACATGTTCAGCACATCTGAAATGCTCACTCCGGTCCTCCTTTAGAAATCTCACCTGTGGTTCACACAGCCCAGCTCCTGCCTCAAAATGCTCTCATTCTTCCACTAAACATTCACTGATTACTTCACCTTACTGAAGGTTTTCTTTATTTTGAGGTCCTAGCTATTTTGAGTCTGAATGTTATATGCTGATCTTGCATCTGCAAAGATTTTAAAGTGCTTCT